AAAAATAGAAAAGAAAGTTTAAGTAAATCGTGTTGGGAGTTAATGCATCAATGTGAAACAAGCAAGCTACAATTAATTAAAAAAGATTGTGATTGCTTCATAGAGTTTCAATCAGAAATTGCTAAAGCAGAATCTCCACTCACTACATGTCATCAATTACTATATTTTCTTCTCCTAAACTTTAGAAAGTAATGTAATTTCAATGCCATTGACAGAAACAACAGGTATTCATCTAGCAAAAGTTCATAAAAAAAATGTGCAATCAATTCACCTCTTCAATTGAATCAAGATAGTGCTGCACTCCACCATTAAACTCAGACTCCCCGGAAGGAAACGTCAGATATTCCCCAGAAATATTCACCCACTTCTTCGTCTTCACAAAAGCAGAAAGCTTGGGATGAGCTAAATTCCCAAAAAGCACCTGCATCAACAAACCAGACCAAAAATCACAACTTTCGCTCGCTGAAACCCGTAAATCCCAAAATCGCGCTGTCGCGGTGAATTAAAACTGAACACCTTGGATTTACTCTCCGGCCATGGCACCGAAGCCGAATAACCCTTTGGTAGAGGCACCAGACATGTCACCGCCCCACTAGGGCAACTTCTTTCATGGTGCCTCCTTCCCCCGAGTCCTTCCATATCAATGCAAGGAATATAGCTCTGCTTGCTTCTACCTCCGCATAACTTCCACTCATACCTAGCTTTCGGATCAAACAAAGGCCCCAAATTCTTCTTCTTACTCTTCTTCCTGTTATTATTGCTTTCATTCTCCTCACCAGATGAATCGTTATACCCTTCCTGATTCACATCCACTCCATCCTCAACGTCGATTTCTACTTCCTCTTCGCCCTCAGCACGCTCCTCGTCGGGATTCGCCTTGGGATCAGCCTTCTGTTCGACCACTGCCTTCTTCTCTTCCTTGCGAACCGAAGATTCGCTCTCGTTCCTGCTCCTGCTCGGCTTCGCCGGAGCGGGAGGTGGAGTTATGGAAGCTATGGAATGATTCCGAGCTGAAGGGCTCCTTTGGATGTCGTCGAAGTTGTCACGTCTAGTAGAGACCGAGGAAGAGGGTGAGGAGAAGACGGACCAGACGACGAAGAAGGACAGGCCGACGAGAACTACAAGAGAGACTTTCAAGCAGAAGCTGAGTGGAGCGCGGGGTTTCGCGTTACGGCCGAATCGAACTCCGGCCATGGGACCAACCGGAGTTACTGCCGGAAAGTGTAGAAGAGGAAGCAGATTCCAGATAAGCGAAAGAGACGGGTTAGCAGAATCCACGGAGAAAGCAGAGTTGGGGATTGTAGCGGAATGTGTAGCGGCCTGCAATGATTGGTGGACAGGTGTGAACTACCCGGATGACCCGATCTGACCCGTAATTTTAATTTTTTTTTATTTTTATTTCACCGGATGACCCGATCTGACCCGTAATTTTAATTTTATTTTATTTTTATTTCAAGTGGCAAGGGGACCATCAATGATTTTTCATCTTTGTTGTCAGTCTTTTATTATGATTTTAATTTAATAGAGGGGAACTAATACATTTTTTTTTTGCAGTTCAACATTAATATCGTCGTCAATCACTACCGATCGTCATCGATCATTGATCGTCGTCGATCAACACCAGCAACCGAAAGCCGTTAGTCGACGTTAACCCTGTCAGATTAACCTAATGAATATTTCTTTTTTTTTTGTTGGGAAAAGTGGGGCTGAAAATTACTTAAATATCGAATTTCCATTATTTCCATAACATTAAAGCTTATTTTAGGCTCTCCTAAAGCGCAAATCTTAAAGCACATTGGACTACAAGGTTCAAACTTTTTTTT